TGGGACAATTAACGCGATATATTTCGCGCTATTAACGCGTAAGCGTAGATTTAATCCGTCTTAGAAATCGTTCCAAATTGGTTGAAAGAAGCTTATTTGCCATAATCGATTTGTTACTAGAAGCTAAATATATCACTTTGTACTTTATATGGCGTGGGGGGGATGATTTTCACAAAAAAATCTTTAAAAATTTTTACAATTTTTTTTTCTTTTTTTTACATTTAATTTTTTCATCTTATTTCTGGTTCATAGACCTTAAAAGGCAGTCGGAACATTCAGGGCTTCGCCTTGATACGAGCAGTTTTGTTAGCTTAAGCATGCTAAAAAGTATGTTAAGAAAAAACTTTTGTGATTTTTGAAAGTTATTATACCGTGTTCTCATCGGGTTTTTCTATAAATTTGAGTTGTTAGTACAAATTTCATCAAATTTTGCAGCCAATGAGTACCTCTATCATGATCATGTTAAGGAGCAGTCCGAATATTCAAGCCTTATGTGAGCAGTCTTGCTGTTTTGACTTAACATGGAGTTTGATGAGAAAATTTCAAAAATGTACTAATTTTAATGTTTCATTCTTTGTAAGTTTCATTGAGGTTCAACGGCAGTCAAACATTCAGGGCATTGCCCTGATACAAGTAGTCTCATTTGTTTTGATATCCAAATAGCTGGTGAGAAAATTTAAATTTTCGTTCTAATTGGAGTTAATATTCGAGATGTTTTTTGAGTTTTTTCAACATCATCCCTCACATGCTGTGTAAAGTACAAAATGGTACTTTCCGCATATCAAAAATATTGAATACACTAAATAGCATTCCTCAAGAAGGATATTTAAGAAACTCCGTCAAAAATTGCTAGTTAAAATTCGAAATTTGTCTGGAGCACAAATATTTCATCATTTTCTTCGAAAATAGTCGGAACAAACAACGCATAGAAGCAACTGCTTCAACTTCGTTAAAAATGGTGCCATAAAACTTTGAGAGACTTGATTGAGTTGGGCGTTGTAATAAAAGCTGTTTACAAACTTAATCTTTGGTCGTATACAAGACAATGTTCAAAACTCTAAAGCTTAGAATGGTGATGAAATTTGGCTACTGAAGGCCTCAGTCGCTCAGAGAGCCAAATCATAATGTTGCTAGATAGATCACCCAGAAGACTCATACGAATGGAAACAATAGGAGCTCGACAACAAACCCGAGTGGTTTCAACTGGATAAGAATGATCTAGAAATATATTTTCTGAATTTCACCATGGATGATAGACGGAGAGCTGAAAACTTTTTAGTCCCTGGCCGTTACTGCTCTACTCTATTACTGCTGCATTGAAACTAAAAGTTAAAACGTTTTCACGGGAAATGTTGATGGCTTTGTCAACGCATATAACAGTCGTACTATTATTCGAATTGAGGCTTTCGAAATAAATGTCTAATGCTTCAACAAAGCTCAGTTTTTCAGTTCACAGTTTGTTAAAAACAGGCTGACATTGAAACTCTTCGGCATCAATGTAAGCTGCTAATGACTCCTCAAAAAATTGCTTAACTTTCAACTTTTTTATATTTTCTTGTAACTGAATTAATTACACTTCTTCTTCTTGTTAAATGAATTTTTGCTAAACACTTTTTAAATGCATGTATTAACAGCTTCGCTTTCATTGTCATTAGTTAGTCAGGTTTTCGCTAAGCAATGCTGAAGGGTTGAGGTTCTAAGCTATAGACTAGTGCTCCTCAATTTTTGTAGTTTTCGTTTAGGGAACGAACATTTATGTTAAATATTGTCAAATTATTAATATAACTGGCCGAACTTTTTAAATTATGTGGCGTCTTAAATTTCATTTCTTTTGTACATTTTTTATGCCAGATAAAAAATTCTCTTACTTCCGTTTTAGCCCTGTTACTTTCGAAACGTAAAATATCGGGCCCTCCCTCATTTATCTCCAGACGAGAGTCCCGCTTAATTTTGAACTAACACGCCCTTCTGCTTTTTAGTACCATAACGTATTTTAAAAAATTGTGCGTTACAAAGACTTGTTCTCAGTTCTCGGTACATCATTATGATAATTTGTGAATAAAGCAACTAAAATGTATGTTTTAATAACTGCAATTTTTCAGAGAAAAAATCTTGAGAGAGATCGTCAAATGCCAAAACTATTCTAAATTGTCAGTGAGTGTAATGTTGAGCAAAATGATATGTTCAAGAATACCAGAACAAGTTTGTTTCTTGTGCAGTAATTATTAATATTAATAAACTATGATGACTATGATGATAGGGCATCCAAATGGATTGTATGATAAATGCTTAACCAGGCTTACAGTAGCTGTCATAAAACAATAAAATTTGCGCCAATCCAAGCAGAGGTAGTAGATGAGTTTATCGAAAATATGAGTCGACTGGTGTTTGCTCGCGACATTGTGGGTCGAACGATGCGCGCCGTCTACTTTTGTGAGGGTAACAACGTTCGGGACCATGGTCGAGTTGCTTCACCTTGTCGGCGTTGCTCGATCCTGTCGTTTTTGATCGACATTTGTTCACCTTGCTCGGCTTTGTTCGACTTTTCATTGGTCGAAACAACCTTGCAACTAGTTTGTATTTCATTTATGCTTTTTATACAATCAAGTCGCAAGCAGTTTTTGGGATTAAATCAAAATTCTCTTGAAATTAGTTTCGTCGAAATATAGAATTGAAATTGTAAATTTCTTGCCATCAGAAAAAATTGTTATTTTATTGAAATAGAAAAAAAAATCAGGCTAGCGATTTTCCATAATTTTGTAACTTTTCAGTTTTTAATTTTTTTTAGCTATAACTGGTAACCATTTATTTCAAATAAAATAATGCAGATATTTAGGGAATTCATAAGTGTATTTATTCATTTTTGTTGAAAGATTTTCGAAGAAAGTGGGGGAATTTATGCCCCGGGATTTTTTATTCTGACCAAGTTTAGAAAAGTTGACTGCGTATAGATATCGATCCGGACAAATTGTGATTGCCAAGCAATAATGCTTGCACTTGACTAAAGTGCGGCTTTGCTGCTGCAATAATATATAATACTTTGATAGTTTATTTCAACTATTTATGTGTGGCATATTATCCGCACTTCTAATTGTTTCAAACTGAATTGAGGCAAGCCAATTGGTCTTTTTAATTCCACAAACGCCTCAAACTTTAACTCTTTGATTTTATCAGCCTAAAATTTGTAGTTTGTCAATACGTCATTTACCAAAACGATTCGAGACCAATTGATGGGCAGTCGAAACTTTCAGGTCCCTACCCTGATACGAGCCGTCTTGTTTATGCTATAGTTTTCATATCATATGTTTCTTTGTCTTTAGTTGAGATAATTTTTTCAACGTTCGTTTTTTTAAGCATTGGAAAGTTTAATTTAAGCATTGGAAAGTTTTGATCGCACTGTTTTTATCAAACCAGTGCTATCAAAGTTTTGCAAGCCTAGCACTCTGGTAGCACTGGTCTTTTTTGTTCCGACTTTCAAAGATTTGTGCTCAAGGTGGAATATTTGTACTCGGGTGTTTTTTTAACTAGCCATTTTTTGACGGAAAAGTTTTGATATTTTAAAAACCAAAAATTGCCAATTTTGTGCTTTTAACGTGTAAGCGGAGATTTAATCGTCTTAGAAATTGTTCCAAATTGAAACAAGACTGCTCGTATATCAGGGCAAAGCCCTGAATGTTCCGCTGTCCCTCAATTCACAACGAATAATTTTTGGGAAAAAAAATTATTGAAAACCTATAAATTTTGCACAATATCAAAGTGTAAATATCTGAGTCGTACGAATATATTACGACCAGTTAGCTAACCTCAATTCAATTTGGAACGAGTTTGTTGTGCGGGCTAATTCGCCAAGCATAAACAATTTGCATTACGCTCTCAACATTATGAATAAACTCTTCAAAGCGCGCATAATATAGTCCAGAACATGACCAATTTGTCAGTTTTCAAACACTCAGAACTTAACAAAAAAAATCGGAGGTAAATATCTTTTTATGTTTGAACTCAGGAAGTCAATATCTTCAATAGAGTATAAAAGTTTTTGTTGAAAAGTATTATTTCGATCGACGAAAATTGACTGAGAAAAAAAAACCACACCGAGCACAAATATTCCGTTTTCTTCAAAAGTCGGAACAATGAGGCATAATATTTGATCTGTTCAATACATAGCAATACGCTAAATTTTTATTTCTGAACTTTAAATAGCATGTGATGGCTCAAAAAAAAATCTAAAAAAAGTTTAAATATTTTTTTGAAAGTTTTGTCATTTTTTCTTTTTTTTTCTAGGCTGAAAACTTTTCATGGATGGACTTTAAAGGGCATTCGGAACAATCAGAGTTTTGCGTAACGGAATATTTGTGCACGGGTGCGGACAAGTAACGAAATATTTGCTCGGGTGGTTTTTTTTCTTCAGACAAATTTCGACTTAACTGGCCATTTTTGACGGAGTTTTTTAAAATCTTTCGAAAATTATTGTTGTCCTGAGCTTCATTTGGAAAGATAATCACCTGTGATCTTTTTTCGTAATTTTGTGGGGTTTTAAATGGTGGCATTTGGCCAGTTTGGGACAACTAACGTGCGATATATTTCGTGCTATTTACGCCTGAGCGGAGATTTAATCCGCCTTAGAAAATTCACCAATTTGGTGGAAGGAAGCTTATTTGCCATAATTGGTTTGTTACTAGAAGTGAAATCTATCTTTTATTTTTCTTAATATTGCGTGTAGGGGGAAGGTTTTTCACAAAAAATCTCAAATTAAAAGAAAAGAACTTTTAATAGATATATTTTTTCGTTTTCTTTTATTACATTTAATATTTTCTTGTTATTACTGCTCCATAGACCTTAAAACGCTGTCGAAACATTTAGGGCGTCGCCCTGGTACGAGAAGTCTTGTTGAAATTTGTGTACGGCCCAATGTTAGAAAAATTGGGATTTACAGTGGTCTAAGTTTGCTTGAAAAGTCTGTTTATCTCTAAAAATGAAATTAAATTGAAATTTTTGTAAGTGCAAGATTCAAACATTTAACATTCAAAATTTGAAGAACAAAAGATATAGGACTAAAGTGAATTTGACAGAAAAATTAATCACTTCGAGTCAAAACTATGATTTCTCGAACTCTCGCGTGAGTTTTGGTTTCCATTCAGAAACTTGAGCCATTCGGTCAAACTTTCCTGTTTTTGAAACCGCAATACAACCGATTCTGATCTGTACGTGAATGTGACTTGATTTATATTAGTCAGTTTTCGGTCATAATTAACTCGCATCTGAGAGCGACTGAATAAGGCTTGGGGTGTACCGTCCAAGGCAGAAGTCGTGATTACAAAGTAGTTAGGGTAAACTTTACCATAGAGCTGCGTGCCATGTTTCTTCGAAGAAAGCTGTATGCTAAGTGCACCTTCCAGCAAAACCGTGTTATCAAAGCTAATTGGGTTAATTTCCAAATGGTAGGGGTCAATATTATGATTGTCAAGTGATGAAAAATCTCCTTGGGGTATTTTAGTCAAATCGGGTACTGTGTAGCTTGGAATTAACTTCGTTTTAGGTTGAGAAGAAGACGATTGGTTTAAGTCGTTCTTGGCAATCGACGACGAATTAGCACGATTGAAGCTGACAGGCGAGTGAGTTCGCGACTCAGCTGGTAACGATGAGTCACCAATTGCGTGATCAAATTGGATTGAATCGGCTAAGGATATTTTTCTGTGCACGCTGCAATAAATTTTACGAGTAAACAGCGCAGCACATTTTTGAATCAGGTAATAGCATCGATCTTCTTCTTCGTCTTCGCTGTTATCAATTAATGGCACTATTTTTTTCTTGACTGGCACTAATTTTTGGCTGTTTTTCTCCCGTTTCTTCTCAGCTAACAGTAGCAAATGGCGCGTTTTCTCAATTTCAGATATCCATTCCAATCTTTCCAGCTCCATTTGGTGTTCTAGAATAGGTACTGGAAGAATAGGGTCCCTAAACGAAATGCAAGAACTATGAAATGTATCCATTTTCAAACCATAGCAAAGTAAGCAGCAAAGCTGAAACCTTCATGTCTAGAATTCCAGTTGATTTTATTATTGATTGCAAATATTCGTCTTGAACTAGTTTTTCTCTAGTTTCTTATAGATTTGCACTAACTGTCAATTCACTGTAACCATCGATTAGCCTCGCATCCTTTGCACCGATTTTTTTAAGCTCATTTCATAGCAATTTCATCGTCTGTAAAATATTGGATAACTTATTACGGGTTACCAATAATAAATACTAACCTCGACACATGGTTCAATTTTCTTTGAGCTTGTTCCGAGTAAATCTTCCGTCGGTTCTCGGCAAATTTGGTCAAGTCCGAATTTTTCCGAATGCCAAGTCCAAAAATTGAATATTTCATTGCCGGTTCAGTCCGTGTGAAATAATAACCGAGACCCAAACCAGACGAAGACCGGACGACCAAGTTACAATTAATGTCGAACTGAAGGTGTTTGAAGTAGCTTTCGAGTTGCAGCACGACTTGGATTTTCATAATTATGACGTCATTCCCCTTCGTAATTTTGTTGAGCCAATCAGATTCGTGTAGCGTTGAGTCCCAGGAGCACTCAAGTTCGTATGATGGTTGCAATAAGAAGTCCTAAAACGGACAAAGTTTTGTCAGCTAAGTGTTTATCATGTTATTCTAGAAGTGAATTCAATTCTCATTCAAGTTTTGTGCAGATGGTGTAAAAACTTGATTTTAATGTGGCACGGCACAATGAGTGTCTGATTTTGTCCCGCTAAAAGTAACCGGGGTCGAGAATGAACACTAACTCCCAGACATTCTAAGTTGTGCTTATGTGGATTCCGCTACCGAAATATCATAGTTTGGACAAGATTTTATAGACGCCCGGACAAAGTCTGGAAATATCGAGTTTCGGTAACACCATTTTGGAAATTAGTCAAGATATTCTGAAAATTAACAGCGTTAGTCTGGAAAACAGTCACGATATATACTGAAAAAACATCCACGATGACCTGGTCGTAAAATTGCGACAGTTTGAAAATTAGTTCTGGGAAGTCGAAGACTTTAAGGCTATGTCTATGTGCAAGGGCGGATCTAAGATTTTCTCAAGAGGGGGGGGGGGGCGGATTTTCAAAAGATTAACGAAATTTTCGTCGACGTTTTTTTTAGGTCGACCAAATTGATTTTCCGAGCTCTCCCAAAGCACTAAAAAGTCCCTGTTTTAGCCAAATTCTCTGTGCCGCACGCAAAATAATGAAAAAACAGGCCAAAAAAGAAATGTTTAGGCACTTTTTAAAAAAAAAAATAGTGACCAAAAAATCGCGTTTCTTCTGCGCGCACTTCCTCCTCAAAATAAGTAGATATTGGCGCTAAAGGCGCCTTTGAAACATTTTTAGGGTTCGCCACTAAAAATGGGTATTTCAAAATCGTACAATATAGTAACCCCCCCCCCCCCCAGAATTGGAAAAAAAACCGTTTTTCATTGAAAAAATCAATTAAACAGCGTTTTTCTTATAAAAAAACATGTTATAGTTTTTTTCTACAGTTTGTTCAGTTCTGCCCTCATACCGATGAGATGATCTAATAGATATGCGACAAGAAAAACGGGAGTCAGATAATCATCTCTTCTTTTTGCTACTAAATTTTTAAGATCATCCGGTGCAGCATTGTAGAGATCGAGCCGTTTTTAAAACATTCCCGACCCTGGTACCCCTCCCCCTAAATACGCCCCTAGCTATGCTGAGAGTTTGCAACCAGGATTCTAAAAAACCATAAACCTAGATAAAGATAACCGGTTTTTGAGAACTTGGTACCACAATGAGTAAACTTTAAACTTCGAAAACTGAGGAAAAAAGAACGCAAGAAAAACAAGGATAACCGGTTGCTGTGCAGGTAGCGAAAAATGTTCCTCATTCGGAAAAAAGGTTAATTTTTCCATTTTTTTAAAAAAGTTTTCGTTGTTGCTTTTGTGATAGCTAGGATAATAGATTTAAACAAACGGGTGGAAAATTTTTGGATTGAGCATAATTGACAATATTTGTCTTCAAAAACGAGATAACAAGAAAATAAATGAAAAAAAATCTAAGAATTTTTTTCAAATTTTTTTTGCACAATAGTTTTCAACCTCTTTTGATAACTTTTTATCGAAATCTTTTTCACTTTTTTTGCGCTAAATGAAACTCCTGGAACTAGTTTTTCTTTTAGTAAAAATAAGTTTTCTCATCCTAAATAATCAGTTTAATATATAACGAACGTTACTCGATCGCATTGCTTGCTCGAAATTAGGTTTGAAATCAAAATTTCAAAAAGTTTTTCTTTGTCCGCAATGGGATTTTTTGCAAACATTTTTCAAATTCGTTCAAATAACAGCTAAAAAAGCGTTATTATGATACATCATTGTAGCTATTCCAATAATTGTTTGATGTACCTGATTTTTTTTGAAAAAAAAAAACAAAAGAAACAAAAAACCAATGGTCAATGGTCAGAACAAAACAAACTATCAAAAGATGCAAAGTTTTGTTTCATTGAAACTTTTATTGCTTAGTTGTATTTCAAAAATAATATGTAAAACTTAAAGTAAGCAGAGAACACAAAATGCTACGGTCGTGAAACACGCGCAGGTCTCTGACACTTTTGCTTACTTAGCGCCGACTGCCGAAGTTTTTTGCCTGTCACGGACACTTCTTACTATGTCGCGCTAGTCGGCGAAGTTTTTGGTTCAGTTTTGCCTGTTGAGTATTTGTTTTTAACTTTCTGTTGCTTGATCAGTTCGAAAAGTTAATTACTGTTTATTTGATTTATTGTAAGCTTCTATCAATAAACACTACTCCGCATCATGCTGAGTTTTTGTTCCCCACTTTGAAAGTGGGGAAGAAATTTGTTTTCGGATTTGCTTTGGTTTTTACTTCTTTTTGCTCAGCAAAATCAGGTGTTGGAAATAAAAATTGTAAATTTCTCATGAAAAAAAATCAAATTTTCGACATATCGATTCGTTAGAAAAATGTAGTTCTGAAATTAAAATAAACTCTGTTTTTGCTACTCGTTTATAGTGAGCTAGAACTATCGCGTGACATATCGAACGATACCAGTATTTTCAACTCTTTACACATCTCTTTTCTAATACACATCTCTTTGATGTACATAGTTCGAAGAACTAAATGTTGATCGCGCGATTTGGAAATATCCATTTTTGACAATGGTGATGTAAAAGTACTGAAGTTTGGTCTTATTACTAGTCTAGTCATAAAACAATAACCCAAGTCCAGGACCCAAACTATGACTTCTCAAACTTGTTTTTTTTATAAACCTGAAAGAAAGAACTGATTTAGTTGTGCCATTATTTAAAAGCTTTCAATTGTATTTTATAAATTATACCTATTTTCTGCAAGAAAATGGTTTGAAATTGCTTCAAACTTTCAAATCCGCAAAATTATTTTTAGCTGGCTTTATAAAAAAGCGAAATGCCATAAAAAAGTTTATTTGAAGTCGGACGAAATTTGGGCATTTGTAACCCGAGCGCCAAAGGTACGGAAAAACGGAACCAATTAGCTATCAAACCTTCTGGTAATGTTCATTAGTAAATTAAACTAAACTAACTTGAGTGTATTTCTGTTTGATAATAATCAAGTCCACGCTATTATTGACACCTGCCACCTCTTTCTCTTCCTCGCTGCTGGAATCATCCGCTGTTGAAGTAGTCCCTCTGCCGCTGCTGTTGTTCTGCTGGAGGTGTGAAGAAATGTTGCCGACTGAGATGCTGACCACTTGGCCTATTGCCACCATTTTCTCATTCGGATGCACTATGCGCAGTCTGATCCTCCGCTGCATCCCTAAAGAAAAGATTTCATTAACTTATCAAAAGTTAACATAATCTCACTTTACTTTTTGGAATCTTCCGACACAATATCGGATTTTTTTAAGCAAAAAAAGCAAAATATGCAGAAGAAGAAAAAGAATGAGAATCCCGGGTTGAGCTCACATTGAAAATTAGCGATAAAAAAGTGAAAAAAAAACAGCGATCGTCATCGGTGAATTATCGATGTCCATTGCCACAATAGCAAAGTTTATCGATAAATATCGTCAATTTGGCTTATTTTCAGCGATTAAACAGCGATAAAAACCTATCAAAATGAAAACAAATAGAGCTCTAACAGGGGTTCGATCCCCCAAACCTTGAGAGTTAAAGACCTGTATAGCTCTGTAATAGCTCTGAATAGACCTGTAATAGCTCTCTTATAGACCTGTAATAGCTCTGAAAAATCGCAGGTTTATCTATGCAACAAACTTTGAATTATACATGAATCAGCGCTGGAAAATAGCGATCACTGGGATACTACAGAAAAAGCGATAATTAACGGTGAGACTTCAACCCGGTGTGAGTATTAGTTTGTGTGGGATTATTGTGTCTACAGAAGCATTCAAATTTTTTGAAAACCAGATTAAGAAGAGCTTCAATTTTCAAACTGTATGAACTGTCGATCTTTCTCGGTCATTCTCAAACAAGAACAAGGATAGCCGGTTATTGTGCAAGTAGCACAGAATGTTACGACCGTAGCCTTGAAAACACTCAAAAAAAAACTTTTTCAAATTAATGTCGTAATTTCTGCGTGGTGTGATGAAAAGAAATGAACGAAAAAACAGAAATAAGGTAAATTGGACAGTCATAGTAAAATCAGTCAATTGGAAAACAAATATTGTAGAAAAAAAGCTAGGAAAATGAAAAAAAAATTGTTGAAAATAATTTATAAAATTTCCAAAATTCAATTTTTATGAGCTTTTTTTTCGAACCACGTGAGTTTATATCCGTGGTGGCTCACTCATAAAGTAACTTCAGATAGGGTACACCGTCTGTTCGTCACGCTATCTTGTTTTCGGTCGGATAGATTCGTGCAACTTCTTGGTTTAATACCAATCTTAATCTTACTCTTATATCTCCTAGTCTCAATAGATCTATTGTATACAGGTATTTGCGAAGCTAGATATGAGGAACTGTTCTGGAGAAGAGCAACTGTATGCAAAATTAAATTTATTCTGTTCTGGCTGAAACTATAAATAAAAAAGTTTCAGCCTTGCAAAATAATGTAAATGATAGTTATGGATCATGAGTGGTTAGTTCTAAGTATTTTACCAAGGGATATTTTATCAAGAATATAATAGGATAAAACAAATACTTGTTTTGAACTGGTTCCACACAACTGAAAGAGCTTTAATATGATATATCACTCGACCCATTCCAATTATTATTTGTTGTATTTGATTTTGCGTGAAAAACAAAAAGAGAAAACTAAAACACACTCGAATACTAAGAGTCTCCCCATTTTTTAAATGGTCTGAACAATGAACATGTGCATTGCACTTATGCAGTTTTTTTTCTCTACGGTTATTTGAATTCCAGATTTTGCTGAGGTGTAATAAATATACATAGACGTAAGGTTTAAGTGGGAAATACCTTGATGCAACTGGAAAGAGTCCGGGCAGTTTTTTCGTTTCTCCAAAACTACAGAACTGAAGTAGCCGCTGTAGTTCAACTCCAAAATCTCAGTCAGAACCAAAATTTCCCCCTCAAAAACACCCCCTCTGTTGGACAAATACGATTTCTGACGCTTTAAGACTCCATTTTTGCACACAAAGCTCGGACTGACAATACTGAGTAATCTTTGGCGGCGTCCCAAATTCTGTTTATGTATCGGATGTTCATTGAAGTGACCAAAAACTTCAAAAATAACCGGGCGTTTTGTCAGAAGTTCTCGGTTTTCACTGGTGTCAGGAATGGAGATATTTTCGACATGGAAAAATCCGAGTGGCGGTCCGTTTCCGTTCATGGGTTCGTTTTTAATCGGATCTGTCGAGTATAATTTTTCAGGAAGCCCAGGAACAGAAAACTGGCAGAAAATGTCGGTGAATTTTGCCGAGATGTCCATAGCTTCCAGAAGTGTGATTCTGAATGTGATGCTTTCATCATTTTGATTGGAGAATTTTTGAGGTGAGCAGTCCATATTTGGCACATTTTGCGTTGCAACTCGAATGTAACCTAAAATCATCGTGTATTTTGCAAATGACAAACTGGAAAGTTTAAACGATTTCGATCAAAACTATACGCTAAAATTTCTCTACCATGTTTTAGGAAATTTAGACTGATAAATGCAGGCAACTCTGCAAAACTTGAATAATTTGAAATTCAAGAACGATAATGACATTTTGACCAACCAAACTCCTAACAAGACTTTAAATTTAGACATCATTTTTCGAAGTGCGAACCTTGTATTTCTGCGCTCTCATTTACAATTGGCACTTTCACCACAAAAGGGATCTCCTCCAGTACATTTGATATGTAAGTGAGGGCTTTCCCAATCTGGTGAAACCACGGCGCCCTCCCGTAGAACGGATCCTGCTTCGGCGAGGCACCACCCGACATGTCGTGACAGGAACCCTTGTCCTTCTTCGGATGTCCGTTTGGAACCCTCTGAAGATCATTGGCATCCAGAACCCCAAGAACACTACCGCAGTTCCCAGAATCTTCAGTCATTGGATCTGATTCAACGGGTTCCGCGACGTCGGCTCCAGATTTAAGTTTATTTTCAGGCGATAGCTGGCTTTGTTTCATGAGATCCAGTTTGGCTTTGAAGTTTTCCAGAGTCCAGTAAAAGAAGAGCCCACTTTGTTTGTCTGTCACTTTAATTAAGGGACACTTGTGACCAAATGTCAAACATTCTAAAACGAAAATAAGATGTTTTCAGCTAACATTTGAAAAACCCATTGTAGTTAAACTCTAAATCATTTTAAAGTATCAATTAACATAGCAATCTAGGGTATCACAAACCTGATTGAGCTTCACTTGGTACCGAAGTATACAAGGAATCCGACGTCACTTTTAGCTTAAATTCCATCTGCTTGTCGCACTCTCGGCTAATTCGATTTGCTTCTCCAACTAAGCTTTCAAACTCCCTCAAAGTGTCTCTCAACTTCCTTATTTGGTAATTTTTCCATTGATGAAAGGCATCAACCATCATCTGCATGTTTTCTTCAGTAATTCTAGAATTTTCGGATTCATCTTGGTTCGAAAGACTGATGGATAAACTTGACCTTGAATCATCATCAAGTTCATTAAGTTGCGTTTGAAGTTCCATCAATGCGTCTTCATATTGCCTAATCTCGTCTTTATATCTTTCTTCTTTCGAATCAATTTCCTTTTTGTACATACTTTCCATTGTTTTCTGATAATTTACTTGCGACTCGTACTTTTTCATCAGCTCTTCTTTCTCATTCTTGAGAGAATTTCGCTCATTTTCAAGTTCACCAATTTTTTCTTTGTACTTCACCAGCAAGTTTTTAACCTCTTCGCGATCTGTGCTTTGAGCCCGTTCGAAGTTTCGTTTTAGGTTAATTCCACTGACGTCTTTTAATTCTTGTTTCACAGTTTGCCATGTTATGCGCTCTTTGGCGCCCTCTTGCGTTATTTGGGCGCTGTTCAGATTCGGAAATTGAAACTTGAACACGTACTTGAGTCCAATAACGAGTCGATCGTCGTGTTTTATTTCGAGGTCAGATCCAATTTTAGACCCGTTGACGAAACAGTTTGACCCGATTGCAGTGAAGATTACTTTCATTTGTTCGAATGTAAATTTGCAATGTTGGTTTTCGAGACCTGAAATCAAATTCAACAATTTGATAATTTACTCGATCTAGGTGTTAGAATCAAATTTTCATAAAAACCCGCATAACTTTGGGTAAAAAAGCATAGAAACACTTATGATATCAAATGGTTGTTTTCTTTTAAACGCCAAATTTTAATGGTTGTTTTGTCAAAGAAAAAATCAAGATATTGAAAGTTTCAGCCGAAAGATTAAAAGGTGTTCTGAAATGTCAAAAATGAAGTACTTTTAGTCTCGATAAAACAATAAAACAAATCTCAACCGTCTATAAGCTTAACATGTTACAGACACTTGCGATTTGTTTTGTTATTTTAAAAAACAAAAACACTCTAGTTTTAATTTTCCAAAAAAAAGTTACGTTTTCTCCAGCTTTATTTGCAATTGCAATTGCGAATGAAGCTGAAAAAAAAAAGTACTTTTTTTAATTAAAAGAACAGTTAGGCTCACCGTGTAACTGTATGTTGCTACCCTGTGAACTGCCCACAACTGTGACTCCAGTCTGGAAACAGTACACCAGTCGCTCACTCATCTGCTCATCCTCGTGCAGGTTCACTATGATTGGCTGACGACAGTTGCTGTTGTTGCTGTTTGTCGGATGACTGTCGCTGGCCAATCCTATCTGCTGCAGGAAGAGTGAACGACTCTCCTCCAGTTCGGCAGTGCGTCTGATTTTGTCTTCGTAGCTCCGATCTACTTCTTTCAGTAGTTTCTCTGAGCAGGACAGCTTCTCAAGTACAAGTGAGTCACTCATGGCGCTTCCTAAACAACATTCTTCAAAACTCTTCAAAACAGGAAAACAATCATGTGATTCAAGTGTTTTCTAAATAATATTATAAATACTAATAATAACAATCATAATAATCATAATCATAATATTAATAAATATAAAACATGAACCATGTCGTTTTTTGAAATCTTGTTATTGATCAGAAAAATTAAACTGAAATTTATCCAAATTTGAAAAAAAAATCAGTAAGATTGTGAGATTGTGGTTTCTACGATTCGCAGAAGATCTATGAAAGACTATCCAACCTGTCTAAGCATAGTCCGTTTCTCTTACTTCCCCACATTCCAGACTGAGTTGTTTTTTTTTAGAGCGAACCTATTTTTTAGCGACTCAATGACGTTTTTTTTTGCGTCTAGAACTGTCACATGGTACCACTATTGCAGCCGTAATCGATCAGGCAGGGGTGACATAAAGCTAGAGGTCAAGTGAAATCTCGTCCTCACACACTGTCAATGCCATGGCAGGGGATCGATTGCACAATCTGCCGATCACGAAGTGAACGCCTTACCACTATGCTAAGTTATGTTATCAACCGTTTGTGAGAACTTCCTTGCGTGCAACGTAATAAGTCTCACCATGTCTCGGTGATGAAACCGACGTCTGCGATGACGCAATGACCGACTGCAGTCTGTGTATCTCCTCTTTCAACTCACGAATCAGTTTCTTGTTGGGGTCCTCGTTGATCCTCGCCTCACACACGATGGACTTGGCTCTCTCGGCGTATCGGAGGGTGGAGAGGGTCTCCTCGTAGTTGGCACTAGCAGGACTCACTGCAGCCACCATCGTCGTCCGCGAGTTCCCTCCGAGGTTCTCCTTCAGCAGCCAAGTCAGCACCGATTCCCTAAACATATAGTGGCTCTTTAACCGCCATTGCTCCTCACATAAGCATCAATTGTATGTTGAAACGAGGGTATGTTTTACAAGCTTAAGTATCAAGACCAAAACTGCGTGCCATGGCCTATTAGTCCGCATGACAATTTTTGCAGCAATCAAGAAATGTGAGAAAAACGCACTTTGGTGGCTGGAAAAGGAAAAGAGCCCAGTAGTTAACTCCAGATCTCTGATTCAAGACACCTTTCTCTAAACTAAACAAAATTCACAAAAATGGGTTTGCGTTGGTCAAAAAAATCTGATTTCCTCGTTGTTGCAATTTGCCCTGATTAAAATGTTATATTGTTTTTTAATACATGGAATTATAGAAAGAAGCGTTAATTTTCCGAGTAATCATAATAAAACTTTCACAACTTCTAACCTGTATGGGATGAAATCAGCCGTTACTTTGCTGTTCCGGGAGCCCGCTTTTGATTTACTTGTGCTATCAGCTAGGCCCGAAATGATCTTGCCCAGAGTAGTGAGTGACTTGTTAATATTGGAACCCTCTTTCAATCTCTCCTTGTGACTGGACACATTGGCCCTTTCGCTGCCGGCCAGGTCGACCAGTGAGATTTTACTCTGAGTCTCGACACCGCCTCTTGATTGGCTGAGGAGTATGTTGAATATAGCGTGGCTTCGACTGCTCACTTCGTTCATATTTGTAGATGCAACTGTTCTCGCCTAAAACTCATAGTTTAACCGATGATTTCGTTTTTAGGTAATCATCCTTACTCAAGCTTAAGCATGCGTTACAAACATCATAAAGAACGATTCAATCATTTAATTATCAGGCTTAACAAATTTGGTTGACTTTTCCGCACAGATTTTACTTCAAATTTCTATCTTTTGCCCAAATTAATGTATCCACGATAGTTTTTCAAAAATTACTTGCTCATTGTAGCTGGAATTAGCATTGATGGCTGCAAGATTGGCAGCATCTGCCTGTATAGTGCCCCTGACATATTAACTCATCACATTACACAGTGCATTGTAATTTTTGGTCTTCACCTGAATTTTTTTATTGGAAAAAAGACAAAAAAGACAAAACTGTTCAACACAAAAGAATGCAAAATGAAAAAAGAACAGTCTGAGCTACTACACTGATACCAATATTGAACTGACTTTGTTTCCGTCGTCTATGAGCTTCTCCACTCCCTCGTGTGACGTCACCACCAGCTTACTCAGATCTTCCACATAAGGGCCATACACCGGGTGCTCCCTCACCTGACATCAAACAAAGCCGTAGTTTCCAACTCAGTTTTCACCCTTTAATTTACATTGCTAAAACTTGTACTGACTAATATAAGTAACCCTATTAAAGTTTGAATAAAATACAGCAAAGATTCAATTCAAGAGGTTCTGAAACACTAGGCGCAAAGCAATCTTAATTTTCAGTGAGTTTTTAGATGGAATTTATGGGTTAAGTTTGGACAGTATTTCAATCAGTTCGAACAGTTCTAATAATAGCAGTAAGTAAAAAGCACTTACTTTCAGGTAGTTTTTGTTGTTCGGATTGAGCAAATCTCGCACTTTCTCATTGTAAATCTCCAAATAGCTCACTTCCACCGAAGTTTTATCCGACGACTGTCCGCCCTCTCTCTTCTCGGCCTCTGAACATGACTCGTGTAGCCGAGTGAACAGATCTTCAGTGAGTCGCGGGATGATTCCCCTGGATTCGAACTCCCTCCCACCCATCATAGTGAAACTCTTTCCAGATGAAGTTTGCCCATATGCCAGAATGCAGACGTTGTAGCCACTCAAAGCATGGTACAACATTGGTTGACCTAAATGAAAAAAAAATTTCGTGGGGCGAAAAATTCGTTTCAAAAGTCACGGCTAATGTAGCCTCAACATAGACCAAGTCTAGGCTCAGTTTTTGGATACCACGTTTGTTCCCGAGCAAAAAAAATTTTTTTTAACTTTGAGCAAACAAAAAACGTGGGAACAAAAAAACGTGAGAGCAAAAAAAAGGCTGGAGCAAAAAAAACGTTGAAACAAAAATAACTCGGGAGCAAAAAAAATACCACGTTTTTACTCCCACTTTCATTTTGCTTCCACGTTTTTTTGCTCCTACCTTTCTTGCTCCCACGTGTTTTTGCTTCCAAGTGTGGAAAGGGTCTTCTCATGAAAAGTTCCTTTCGATCTGAAATTTGAAACCACCTCCGCAAACTTCTTTTTGTTTGCGTTAGTGAACTCGAAAATTCTCCACACGTTTGTTCAATTCACGTTTGATTACATTAGATTAATATAAGAAAACCAAATAAAATTTCCAGGTAAAAATTGTAATGTAAAAATTCATTATTTATACACATTTTCAATGAAACATGCTGGATACGTGTTTATTAATGCATTGTTCCGCACATTTGAAAAAAGGTGGAGGAACTATGAATTCAGTTGTTTTAGTTTTTTTCCACGCAAAATCAGGTACCACAAATAATCCTCGCAATGGGTCGACTGATATACCAAACTGAAGCCTTTTCAGTCGCAATTCGAACGACAGTGAAAAATTTTCAAAAACTTTCTCAGTATCGAGAAAAACTGGTACAAACTTTTGATTTTTTTTTCAATTTTTAGCGATTAAAGCAAACGAACAGGCCTACAACAGCTCAATAATGCTTAATTTAAGCCCTGAAAACTTAGTTTTAAGCAAATTAAATGCGGTTTTTGAGTTTTTAGCCCTATTCTGGGAACAAAAACATCGAAAAAAAATCCATAATTTTTCTGCAAAAAAATGCCAAAAAAAAAGTTTGTAATTTTTCTAATTTTTCTTTTGATTTTTTTGTTTTTCTAGTCAGTTGTCTACAAAAATTTCTACAGTAGTCGGCTATCCTTTTTTATTTTTTTTTCATGTAAAATCAGGTTTAACCACTAATAATCATTGGAATGGGTTGAGTGATTTATCTTATTAAAGATTTTCTAGTCGTGATTCGAACGACATTAAAAAATTTTAATAAAAAAAATTCTCGGTGTCGAGAAAAACCAATTTATGCTTAATTTGAGCAGTGAAAACTTAATCTAACTTAGAGTTTGCCTATTTTACTATGACTGTCGATTATGTCTAATTTCTGTTTTTTTTAATCACACCACGCAGAACAAAATGACTCTAAGTTTAAAACAAAACATTTTTTTGTACTTTTCAAGACTATGGTTGGAACGTTCTGTACTACTTGCAGAGTAACCGGCTATCCTTGTTAATAATTGGGCTCATTTTCCAAACATTAGAAGATACAAATACTAAGCGAAGAGCTGAGATCTTATCTACGAGCCTAAATTTTCTCAGGTACATCTAACGTTCTCCCACTCATTCCATTATAGTTCCTTTTTTTGTTTGGTACAAATATTAAAGAGAACAGTTTTTCAAAAATAGAAGCAAATTGCTAATTTTGTAGATCAATTGGCTCTTTCATCCAATTCAATGAAAAAAACGACATCAGGTAATAAAGGGTTTTGAGGGGAAATAAAGATAAAAAATGAAGACTCTACTTAAAATTGGCTAAACATTCTCTTCTTTCTTCAAAATAGCCGTCTCATTCATCCCACCCCAAGGAAAAAGGGGAAGCAAGTTTTACCCGGGTACCTTCAAAATTATCAAAATATGCAAAAACATCCTGATAAAATGCAAATTAATATACTTTGATTTTTGAAAGCTTCTGTATGCAATAACATTATATTGAAGGTTTTCCAGATGAGCGATACCGCAAAAAACATCAATGAAAAAAGAACACAGCTAAAATGGAAAAAAATTAAGTGCTGAAATTTCAACTTTGTAGCTGACGGATAACTATTTATATTTATTTTTATTTTTCCACGTGTCAACCAGAAGAGTCTATCAGGAGGCAAAATTTCAAATAAACTTTATCTTAAATATTTTATCGACTTTTTTGAGGTCGAACAAATTAAGTTTACGAGGTCTTCCCGGTAAAAATGGTGAGCCTGTGTATACTTAAGTTTATTTGGTCAAAACGGAGAGACATATCACTGAATTTCAATGCTTGATAAAAAATGAAACTTCAAAATGGCTCGAGTTATAATGCTTAAAGGTGGAGCAAGAGAAATCATGAAAGTACCAGCAGCACAAAAAGTTTTGAACCTGGCCAGTGAAAAGAGGAGATCAGGCCGACTGAATAATAAGCGAACCGAACTGAAGCTGAATTCAAAAAGCAAACTTTCTCAGCGCCATATTTAAAAAAAAAAACTTGAAAATTCGAAAATAATCTGCACAAAAAATTTGAAAAAAATGGAAATTTGTTTTCCAATATATTTTACTCTGATTATCGAGTTTGCCTAAGTTCTAGGTTTCGCTCAGATTTTTTCATCAAACCACAAACAAAAGACGCACAGCAACCAACTAACATTGTGGGAAAATGAATGTCAGGCGTCGAGTTAATCCGAGTTTTTGAAGATTTTGCAGCAACCAAACCGAACCGAGAGCCAAACAAAGACGGGAGGCAAACCAAAATTTTAATAAGCGAGTCGAAAATGAAGCGCGCACCGACAAAACGCAATTTTTTGATGAACAAATTTCCAAAAAACGCCCAAAAATGGCATTTTGATCTATTTTTTCAAAAAATTGCCGGCGGCTCAGAAAATTTTGTTTTTATAGTGATAGGGTATATAAAAAAGTCTTTATAATGTTGTGAGATATTCTTAAAAGATGGTCGTAAATTTTAAGAGTTTGAAAATATTGATTCGAACCTGAAAATCAGTCTCAAAAGCAAAATTATTCAGGCCTGTTTTTTCACAAGTCTGCGAGATTGGCCGGAACAATAATTACCTAATTAAAATGTTTAGCTTAATCAAAACTGCAGTTGCATCAACGAATTATCCACAGGGTGGTGTGTCCTAAAAAGAAGTCTTTCTATGCACTTGAAGGCAGCTAAATTTCAATCCTTGCCTGAAAATGAACCATTTTTTCTAAAATTTAAAAACTAATTCAAATGAACCTAGCTACAGTATTCATAATTAACACTAACCGATAGAGGTGTAGATATTCTGCTGCATTTCTCCCGCTGTAACCTCCTCGCCCCCTCCCTTGGCCACAAGAAGGGAATCTGAGAACACGTGATCAAACAAAAACTGTTTCTGAGTGAGAGTTTTAGGGTTCGTCAGGGCGACCTGCTTGTTGGTTAGAGCAGACACGACCACACTGCAAGATTTTCCCGTTTCGATCGAGTTCAGGGGCCGGACTCGAACTGCGACTGTCAGGGCGGAAGAGGTGGTGGGTAGTTTTCCCTTGCCGGGACTTGTGGGAGATAATGACGTCATGATTGCTTAATTCGAATTAAGTTTCTTCAGATATTTCAATTCTCGAAATATGAATAGGTCAATAGTAACGACGAAAACTTATAAAGTTAAATATCGAATTCCATCATTGAATCTGATGAACTATATAGCAATTTCAAGCACATCTTCAGCAAAATTGAGGAAGTAAAGCATACACTTTTTCTTGAATGTTAAATTAATTAGGCTTCACAAATCAAGTCAGACTGAAATAAAATGTTAAAAACTATCTTCATTAGATGAAAGTTAGTGAAATAAGTAAAATTGTGAGTCGAAAATATCTGTAAGAAAGATGTGTTTTTAATCTTCTCGAGGGAGCATTTGAGGGGGATAAATTCAGTTCGAAATTTGCATAAAAGGCAACCGAGTTAACAATTACAATTGCAGTTAAAGGAGAACAAATTGCTGATAAACTGTAAAAGACGTTGGTGAAGAAATGGTTCTTTTCATCTTATTTTCTGGAGTCGTCCAAGGTAAACTGGCACATTATAGCGACTGAAATTGATTCTAATTTACCGAATTCTGAAATGGTCAGTGCCAAACGGCGGATATTGTATTTCAAATGCAGTCTTAGACAATTCATTGATATTCAGACGGTTTATTGGGTGTTTTTTTTTTCAAAAGAATCAATTTGTAGGGCTTTGTTTTTCGAAATGTGTTTTGGAGCGTTAAAAAAGTGAAGTGTAACCAACGGTAGATGCGGCACAACTAGCTGCATTTAATTTTTTTGCCTGATTTTCATCAGAGATGAAACGATGTAGGTGAAAAAAATGAAGAGTAAAGTATAAAAAGTATATCAGAAAAAGAAATCCCTCTAAGTTACAAAATAGATACATCTGGTGGAAAAAAGTGGAGATGAATTGCGTTCCTTTACATGTAAAGCCAAAATAACTGCTGTTTTGGAGCTATTTTGGGCTATTTTCAACGTCACTGTTAAGACCAGACTTGCGTAAGTCTCATCCGGCAAAAATTGTACCAATTTTTGTCCCCGACAGATAATTTTAGTCTCCCAAACTTATTTTAGCAACTGACGAAGCTTAAATTAATTTAAATGGGACTAAATGATACACTAATTAGTATGACATTTTCACCTGAGAAAAATTGCGTAACTCATTTTTTTTGTAAGAAAGTAGAAAAAATATATTTAAAGCTGGCCAAAAATAGTTGTAACCAAATTTATCACTAGGCTAAATTAGAATCAGAATCAAGAAAAATCAAATTTGGCATAGTAAGTCAACGACAAACTTGAATTTGAAGCGAAGAAAAGAAAAAAAAAGATGAGAGCGAAAAAGAAGGCAAGGGATTCATCGTCAACGGGAAAAGACATCAAGGGGGTAATCTTGGGCTCCTCTCGGGCCCTCTGTGAACAAAGTACCTGCTAATTTAAGACCCCTTTTACTTTATTCCACTATCTTTATCACAGTAACTCTGAGAAAAAAAGGAAAAGTTTTTTTCAAGTGTTGTTGTTTATGCGAGTTTTTGTTCGTAGTTTAAAGCCATCAGAATTTGGATGAAATGGAAAAAATACCAGGTTAAATTTTTTGTTCACGCTCATTCCTCAAGTGTTTTACAACTAACGAGTGACTCGTAACAGTAAAGGTGACCTGTTTTTCTGGTGGATAATCAAGAAACTGTCATGTCTATAAACCGCTACATCTTGAAGCCGAAATTGCATCAGAATTACCTAACAATTGCATAACAACAATGACAATGACCATGTGTAGTTCTATTGCATAGGAATTTTAACTTTAGGCTTGTTAGAATCAGGATGTTTTTTTTTCGGTTTGCTGGCCGTTCGACTTGTTGGCTCCTTACATACCGTTTTGCTCTTTTGGTACTAAACGAGAAGTGCATTGTAAGAGGTATTAAATACCATCTTCACTCTGCCAGCGGATGATATCAAGTAGCTTTTAGATAGGAGCAACCTTATTATAAGCGATGGTAAAGAAAGCCTTCAAAGAAAAATCCAGCCCCACTGACTTTGAATTCTATCTCTCCATCTTTTCCTGTTCCCTCTTTATTTCACAAAAGTATAAAAAATGGAGACAATCAGTTTTCTATTTTTTCTCAATCATCTCAGTTTGCAACCCACCTTTTTTGGAACGACGGGTTATAGAGACCTTAACTTGAATTTTTCAGAGGGTTCATTTTTGTGCTTTTGATGAATTTAATCAGTTGTCCAAATGCAAAATCTGATTTAATTTTAGGGTTTCAAAATCAGTAAAACGGAAAAGAATTATCAGCCATGATAAAAAACATACTATAATTTAATCATAGATTGTTAAAGCAATGGTAGATAGAGAAACTATACAGCAACTTTTAATCAACAGTAACATTTTTCCTTCAACCCTGAAAAATTCAACAATCACGGATATTTTTAGTTGAGCTTCACTACTTATGTGAAAATGGCGATGCAAACAAAAACAAAGCAAATGATAAATTTATCTATTCATTATTCAGCAAATTGAAATCCTGATTGATGGTAGGTAACTAAACAGCTTGAAAACTAATACGAGCCTCATTTGTATTCTGTTCCTGAATGGATCAAGTTTGTGTTTTTTCAATATTTTTATTAAGGCGGAGAACGGAGTAGGGAGCAGGGGAAGATGTTTAGACTGTGACATCAAATATTGACCAGAGAAAAATCAAATGTCTAATAGAGAAAAAAACGGACGGCTTCCGGAAAAGCAAATGCGTTTTTTGAAAAAAGGCGCTGTCAAAAATAAAATCGAAGCGCAAGGCGTCTTATCTAGTAGCGATAACAAATCGCCTGCACGTTTAGTCTTCACCTCAATTTTAGCTCCAAAAATAGCCCGTTAATAAAGGATGTCAGAAAAGAGCAGATTAGGGGAACCCTTCAGTTGGGGACCCACCCATAGTCTCCTCCCAGTTACCATATTAACGACTTCATCTAATCACAATATCAAATTCAAAATTAACAATAGGATAATCTGATTCTAAAATACAGACAATACTGCTCGTATAAATAAAGCCAATGAATATTCCGAACCCCTCTTTGAAGTTGGATTTTGATTGAAAACTTTAGGAATATTCAATTACAAACTGGTTAAAAATGAATACAATTTTATATATCTCAAAAGGTCCTCCACATTTGGCACGCACATGCAACATTTGAACAAAAAAACAACAATTTTTTTCATCGTTCTACATTTCTTTCTTTGAGAACCCGTATAAGGTTCGAAAGTTGAAAAAGGCCAATCAATTATATATATTTTTTCATTTTTCAAGCAGTCTAATTTTCTGTACAAAATCTAATCACACTAACTTAGATATAAAAAGTAAATTGAAAATAAGATTGAAGAAAGTTGTTGATAGTTTCAAACCTGACCAAGACTGCTCGTAAAAGGGCAAAGCCCTGAATGTTCCGACTGCCTTATAAGGTCTATGGAGCAGTAATAACATGAAAATTAAATGTAATTAAAAAAAAAAAAATCATCGCCCCACATGCCATATAAAGTCCAAAGTGATGATTTTGCTACTAGTAACAAATCAATTTTGGCAAAAAGGACTTCCTTCAACAAATTTTTGAATGATTTCTAAGACGGATTAAATCTCCGCTTACGCTTTAATAGCGCTAAATACAACGCTCGTTAATTGCCCCAAATTGGCCAAAATGGCAATGTTTAAAACCCCACATCTCTACGAAAAATGATAACCCGTGAATTATTTTTTCGAATTTAAGCTCACGACACAATACTTTTTGAATGCTATTTAAAATATTTGTCAAAAATGGTTAGTCAAAGTCGAAATTTGTCTGAAAAAATCAACCGGAGCACAAAAGTTTTGTTACTTTCGTTACGAAAGTTGGAACAATAATTTTGTGACATTATTTGAAAGAATATGAGGCCAAAGTTTTTGTTTTTACAAAAAACCGATTTGCTTAAAATTCTCGCGTTTGTTAGATCAACACGAAAAAAAACACAAACATAAATTAATCTTATAGCTCTTTCTTTGATAGCGGTAACTCTGAACTCTTTCCTGTCAAAGGTATAGACAAAAAGAAATGTAGGTGATATTTAAAGCAATATACACAATCGAAGCTTCCGTTGAAGGTAATCAATTCAATATCGCGAAATTTAGCTTGATGTAGACAAGTTTTTCAAATGACCGTTCCATTTATCAAAATGCGTATTGACCACCAAACAGAAAGTTGTTACAAGGCTGATTCTTATAAATGCAGTTTTTGGTATGAGACAATCATGTAATCAAAGTGTGACAAAAATGTGATGAAAATGTATCGCATTGAGATTTCTTCAATGTTTGTTGGTAATATCAACCAAAGGAAATGAAAGATGGGAATTGTAGCAAATGATGCTTACCCGACATTTTGACAGCTCTGGATTATGCGAGACTCGTTTAAATAGTAACAGAATCTGAAGTCTTGGTTAAATTTACACCATGTGCTCAAAAACTTACACTATGTTAATAATTGGCCCGAGAGAAAAGATAAAAATGGGGTCACTATCAATTTAACTTCAAAATAGATGAAACTCAATTAGCACAGGGCAAAGCTATTGAAAGCATGAGAAAATCATTGCAGGCAAGCGTCTGGCAAGAGCCGGATAATCAGTGATTTTCTGAAATTGCTAGAGAAGAAAATTCTCGATCCTCAAATAATTTTTTTTTCAATTTTGAAGGGACGCAGTATTGAATTGTCTCTTACAAAATGGAAGTGAAGCAGAACCGGTCAATTACCGAAGCGTTTTTGTTCTGGACGAAGTCTAGAAAATTTTTGCTAAGAAGATTGCAAACAGGGTAGACAAACGACTACAAAAATTTGTTGTTCGAAAGCATAGGTCTACAGGCCCAGCTGGTTTTGCAATTAGATGTTTGCTTCGAAGGAGGATTAGAAACAACCGAATCATCTACATAACTTTAATCGACAAAGTATTTTGATTAAAATTATAATGTGGTGCTGTTCAATTGTCTGAAAAAAATCGGCATTCCTCAACATTTTATCATTTTAATCGATGCGCTACACGTCAGAGCGACCCAGGAGCTTAATAACGACAACCCATCATACTTTTTTGTCCCTATTGAATTTTTTCATTTGCACTGAGGATCTAGCTCTGATCTCTGACAACCAAGCAAAAGCCACTAGCGGGCTGAAGAAAATTTGCCCATGCACTGAGGATCTATCTCTGATCTGTGACAACCAAGCAAAAACCACTAGCGGGCTGAATGGAATTGCTACATTCTTCCGACTGGCTCAACAGAAAGTATCTGCCGAGAAAACTAAAAGTAAAGTAATCATCAGCAAAAAAAAACTATTGTAAATATCGAACTAGTCATTGAACATGTTGAAAGTTGCTGACTCTTGTTAACAAGGGTTTTCTATTAAGACACACTCCTAAAAGTAGTTTTTTAATACGATTTAGGGTCCCTTGTCATCAGATTCTTGATCTGGGTAGCTTAGGAGCGGTTTACACCCCGCTAGAAAAAATGTGTCTGAGACCAAAAAAAGGACAGACACGAGTCCAAATAACGAATAAAAAGATCAGCACCACGCCAGAAGCAAAGCAACGATGCAGGGTTTACTGTTTTGCTATGTACGCTTTCTTTAATGTCATCTGAGTTGATAAATTGAATCAAATTCTCCTAGGTTTCAAACCTTGCCAAAAAAATGAATGAGTCATCTAATGGCAAATTTTGACTATCGCGGGGCTCTAGACAAAGTAATTGCTATTGGCAAAAAAATCCAAATAGTTCAAGTTGCCATTGAAAACTGTAGAAGACCGTTTCACAGCAAGAACCTGCAGGCATTCTATGATAACCAAGTAGAACCATTGGTACAGACATTGCATAATAAAAGCAAAATGACAATAATGGTAGAAGAAGAGCGAGATATGAAAAGATTCCCCAGCAGCTCAGCAACCGGAGTGTCCAAGATCAAAAATTTGACTACTCTTCATCGGACTGTAGTAAAGTTTTTGTCTTTGCCAACGGTTGGATTAGATTCATACAAAACTGCCATCGACAGTAGAAGCTGATCAACGCATCACAATCAGTAGAAAGAGCCTCTACACGACAATCTCTGTCAATGAACCCAGACACTAACTTAAAAACTGCTACAAAAACTGCTACGAAAACTGTTATTTGTAGCAGCAATACTATTGGTCTAAAGCAAGGCCAATGCCCAAGCCACCAAGATATGAAGGCGTTCTCCCAGTGAGTACCTTCAATACGCCAAATAGTGCAGAAGGTAGTGTTTTCACATTCGGTGCTAGTTTGGACTTTAGACGAGTTCTCAGCGGTAAGCTATCGTTTCGTTTGACGTTTTCTCATGATTTGATAGTGTCAAAACCCATGCTTTTCACCTAGATCAATTGGCGTAGGTAGAGATCATATGAAATTGATTGTACAGATCAGAGAATTTTTTTTTTCACCGATTGATAATAATTATGATAACGACAGTTTAACAAAATTGGGACAAATTAAAAAAATATTTGGTTGCATCTTTCATCTGCAGAAATTAAATTATCACTAATTTAGCAAACTGTATCTAAATCACTCAATTGAAAATTGAGACTTCATCAACTTCATTGAGACTTCATTAGACTTCATTGAAAATTGAGACTTCATCAATGAAGTTTTGCCAGGAATTGGCTTAGCTCAATGTCTACAACAAACTTAGATCTCGAAGCTGAATAATCAAATTCTTAGCACTTTCTAGAAGATTTACGTGTTTTTCGATAATTGTCTATACTTTGTCTACAGTTTCATTTTAAGCAAGAAATATTATAAAGAGAGTTATGCAAAGAGAATTAAAAAAGCAGCAAACGTTTCTAAAAAAATCTAAAAGCTAGTTTGTAAATAGCAAAACCTTATGGACAACTTAACTTATCAATTGATATTAGATCTGTTAGATTTTTCTTACTGTTGCTTAGAGCAGTAAAATTTGAACCACGTCGATGAAAGACGTTTGTCTCAACTAAAACAGAATGGATTAACTCTCAAAAACTTCCGACGTTAGGACTTTGTAACTTTTAACTTATGACAGCTTTCAACATACCAAATAGATTTGGTGCTAAAGCCGCTCTATTCTACTTGCTCATCTTAAAATTTCAACTCTTAATGCAAAATTTGTCGCAAAATTGTGCCATTTAAGGTAGGAAAAAAATATGTTTTTTTCTTCTACAGAAATTTAAGCTAGCCCATTGCGCCATTTGAAAACAAAAAAAGCTGAAGTTTGCATTGTTCATTCAAACAAAGCTAGCCGGTTGCAAGACTGCAAAAAATGCTTTGCAAAAACTCCAAAATTACATCGATTGATGATTATTATAATAAAAATATTGGATTTCTTTTTCAATAAAATTATATGAAACTTCAAATATTCGCTTAAATGCTTATAATTTGGAAGCATTTATTTGGAAATAACTTTGAAGTCTTTCTAAGTCCTATTGGTTACAATGCAACGTGTATATCAGTTACGAACTATATGAAAAAAAGCACGAATCAGTGAGTAATAACGAGTAACCTCTAAAAATCAGACTTGTGGATTTTTCCAGATGAAAAATTGTTCATTAAATTGCCGTCACAATCCAAACATTGAGATTCGACCCCCTGCCGACGCATAGGGTCCCCCTTTGGTACTTTTTCAGAAATTCATTTTTGGTGACGGACACTAAAATTGTTATCAAGGCGCCTTTGGTAATATATACTAACTTTGAGGGGGAGCGCGCGCCAAAAAAAACGCGATTTTCTTGTCAAAGTCTTCCAAAAAACGCCTTTTTTGGCCTGTTTTTTTTTAATTATGCCTGCGGCGCAGAAACTTTGGCCAAAACAGCATCTTTTTAGCGCTTTAGGAGAGCTCGGGAAATCAAATTGGTCGACCTTTGAAAATCCGCCTCCCCCCTCGAGAAAATCCTAGATCCGCCCCTGATTAGGCATTTAATCAGTCTGAAAGCATTATGAAGTCGCCAAAGCAAATAATGCAGATTTATGAACTTTGTACATATGATTTTTTGATAAAGTACTTTAGAGGAACACAATTGCTCGTATTAGGGCGAAATTTGTTGGAAAAAAATGATTTAAGAAATTGAATGTAAGCTGTAACTTTTTTCCTAGTCTTTCCTCAAATTTGTGCCTGCCTTAATTCAATTTGAAAACACTTCTGGGCAAATCTTTTTGCAGTTTACGCGGTAAAAAAGTAAGTGTAAAGTGCTGATTCAAATTAATAAGACAAAAGGAACATATTACCAACCGGACATAAAATGGTTTTTCTAAAGAAGATAAAAAAATTTTCTAGTACAATTACGTTTTTCACCATTTTATGTCTTGTAAACACTATATTATTTGACCATATTATGTTTCACCATTTTAGGCGTGCAAAGTGTCCATTTTGGTTCCTTTTAATCGGGCAATTTGAATCAGCA